CTTGGAATTTGTTTTTTTCCTTGAGCGATAATGTCTTGAGTTCATACGCTTGTTGGACAAAGATGCCTCACCCGTATACATGTATGTGCAATTCATGTCTGGGTCTGATGATATTCTGTCCCGGTGAAAAATTGACAGAACTTAACCAAATCACCCTTTTCAAACAGAATTGTGTTTGGGAGGTAAAAACCTGTGTTTGTGTATATTTATTCGCAAAACAAAAACATGCCTCCAGTTCTTTGTCAAGTTTGTGTAGCAGACTGGTATGTACAGTACAAATCAGTCTTCAGAAAATGTGTCCCGTAGAAACAATTTTTTCCGATCATATCAGCTTGTTTTATGGCCGCCTTTTGATAGAGATGTGAAACCAGCAACCACACACACACACACGCTTATAAAATACAAGGCTCTGTCATCGCATTGATCTCTAGATCCTGGGCCCCCGTGGGGCAGAAAGGTGTTGTCCATCCCTCTGGGACAGTGGAACCACATTCTGAAAGGGGTCCTGCCCAAGACAGTGACCCGGTCAGCTCCGGAATGAAGAAAACCAACTGGTAAAAAACAACTGCCACTGCGACATTTTTTCTAATAATGTACATGTACATGAACCAGTACATGTCATTGTAGGCATAGATGGTCCTGTCAGTTGACAAGCCGGCTTTTACCAAGCCTACTAGACTTGTGTCCTGTCAGTTGACAAGCGCACTTGGTACCTTACATGTTGACATTTAGGAGACTATTAACAATGTCATTGGATAGCCAGGGGAATATTTGGGCAGTGGGGTGTCTGGTGATAGCTGACATCGTGGATATGTACATGTACAGGTGCATTTGTACAAATTATTGCATAGGCACTGAACCTACATGTAACACATGTACCTCCCTGCCACCAGAAAGGCATGATGTCCTGTCTGCCGATGTGTATGAAAGCTACCATCTTCATCGAAACTTGCAGCATCGTGGCCAAAAGTTGGTTGTCGCTTGACTATTAGGACTGACTCTTTACATGCGTCACATTTTGCACCTGTCTCATCATTCCTAATCATACATGTACAAGGAATGTCCATGATGGCCCAGGATTATTTTTCACTTCCAGGAATAAGGGGGTGGTGGAAGTTAATGTACATGTAACTGTGTAGTTGGACATGCTCATCCTGTGGTTTTGGCGCAATTAACTATGCCAACAGGAATTTCATCACTCAAAGCAGATCTCAAATTCCATTCTGTAGTTCATACTGGTACAAGTGGAAACTAGAAAGCGCTTGTACATGCATGGAAGAAGGAACGGTACATGTACATGTCATGTACAGTAGATGTCATGTAAATAACCAAGTTATACACTGTTCAATGCCACATAAACTTTAAATAATCAGTTCTTTTGATTCTTCTGAGCCAAACTGAACTTTGAAAAGGAGAGATGATTTAACTTTAAACTTTCCTAGCCCTGGTGTTGCTTCTTGTTTATGGAACCAGATTTCTTCTGAATTTGAACAATCCATGGCAAAGATTACAGTTAGCCTGTGTAATGTTGATTGAGTTGTCACTACAAGGTCACTGAAAGTTGACCATCAACAGGTGAAGGAGGTCAAGGTTTGTGGTCAGACATTCTGCTTGGCCTTATGGGGGGTGACTGAAGTCTAGGGCAGGTTGTAAAATGATCCTGTTACTGATATGATGGAGCTTTACACAGGCACACCTCTGGCTCAAGCTGAAATAAGGTAGTGCCATGCTTCACTGCATCTATGAAGCTAGGAGAGCGGCTGTGTGTCTTGCTGGGAACCAGTGAGGCACTCACTGGTCCACCTTTGGACTATCCTTGGTATTCAATTACCTCTCAGCATGCCCATGTGTGATATGCCCAAAGTGGAGTGTAGGTTGCACTTTTTTCCATTGAATTTGTTCCAAATCATTGATGTGATGATGGTGGTACATGTACATTCTCTGGTCTTTCGACTCAGTGTTAAAAGGTCATTACAGCAAAATGTAATACATAGGGCCTTACTCTGAGCACAAAAGAAATTGTATTGAAGCAGACGGCATTTGCTTTACTTTTGTTTACTAAACTAGATTTTTTAGGGCCAACATATTTAAATTTCAACAAATTTTCATGCCCATTTTCATGTTTAAAAACAACCATTTTCAATAAGACCCTTTTGGTGCAATTTTTCAGTAAGGACTTTTTAGCACTGACACAACATGCGAATTGCCTCCAGTTGTGGAACGTCCAATCTCAGAAAATGCAGGTACGCTAGATGTACATGTACCTGGACTGTGCACTGTGCACATTGTCATCAGCAACTGGCATAAATTAGGAGTGCAAATAATTTACATGTGTGTGACCACCCTGGCAATCAGGCCATTCTGAACTACCTGTGTGTCTGTTTATGGCCCTCACTGGATGCAGTAAATTATAAGCTGGTACAGTACAAATAAACATTGACAAGAATGGTGTGAAATTTGGTTGGAGGACTGTAAATATGAAATATGCTGGGTCCTACAGGAATGGAACCTGTAAAATGCTGGGACAAATTGTGGTTAATCCGAATAGAAGTATTTGGATCCACACTGTCGTAGTCAACTGCATTTTTTCATGGTAACATTTGGGTGCATGTAACAAACTACTAGTGTATTATAGATGTATATGCACTAGTGTGAGTAGGCTTTACTGTGTAGCCTTATGATGGGCCCCAGATTCTTTAACAGTTTTTCTGTAATCAGTTCCTCTTGGTTCCGCCCCTCTCAATCACTGCTATAATCCCACCAACTCCTGAGGTTTAGGGACACTGACTGGATTCCGCAGCCAGCTGGAGATGCATGTAGACAGTACAGTGTATTGCCAGCAGTGGCAGTCAGTCTGGGGATGTGGCTAGACTCACCAAAGTCTCCAAGACCAAGCCGAGTGCATCTTGGAAACAACCCATCCTTGTATGTTTAACACATATTTGTATATAGGTGTGTCATGTGTAGCCTTGGAAAACCTGGACGTAGTCTCCCTTCAAGTCTGTTTCAAAGATAAATCACTCAGAAGAAGAAATAGTTGTATGCCTGCTTTGTAATACGTGTACACAAAATAGGAATGTACTGTGACAACAGACTGGGACAAGTCTAGTCAGAGGAATGGGCCGAGCTGTGAAGTACATGTACATGTAATAATGGATGTACCGGTGCGTCTGACTCATCTCGAATCTTGTGAGCCGCTGCTGATAAATTAAGAAGGAAGACTCGCCTTGCTGAGCATGCCAACATCCCCACATTCATTTCATACACCAAAATAGCCAAACATGCAGTGGTGCTGGGATGGTCTTACAAACTAATGGAAATGCACTTAGTGCATTGACACTTTGAACGGATCCAATATTGGTCTTGCATAATTTACGTATCGCGTACTTCCTCATGTGTACTTGGTGCTTTGTGAGGTCAATATTGTACAAGTGTTCTAGGCAGATGTGTTAAATCAATCTTGCCTTGTTAGAAGAAGCCAGCAAGGACGGTCTGAATTCTTTTGTTTCTCTTTATTTTTGGTTTTTTGGAGTATGGAGAGTCAAACAATTTTAAAATATCCGCAAGACACTGTGTTTTAAGGTCAGTTTTGAGGAAAGAATATTTGCCAGTTGTTGACCCACTGTACCCTGAAACCCTAAACACCTTATTTTTCTAGGGAGACTTTACCATACTAAACAGAACCCAACAACAGCAGAACTAATCACAGCTTGACAAATCTAAAAACTGGAAGCAAAAACCGCCTTTCTTTTCTTTCTATACGGTTGAGATCAACCAAATTCGGAAGATGTTGTCAGAATACATGAAGCCTATTTATTCATTTTGGCTGAATGTACATGTACCCAACTATGGTGTTTGCATGAAGACTCTATCAGTCGTCCACGTCCACGCAGTTACATTTTTTTTTTACAGTACCAGTCAATTTATAGTACTTGTACTGTACATGTGCCAGCAACTTTCTTCCTATAATAATCCTATCATATGTAAACACTTGAGTGCACATGTGTCAAAGGACATGTATTTGTACCACAGCTTATTTCCTCTTTGGCAAGCATGTCAGTGAGATAACATTTCTATATGTCATGTACATATACGGTACATGTACATGTACTGCACTGAAAAGTGCATGATCACTTTTTGCCGGATCTTCAGCCATGGAAACTGAACTGAATCCTGAATCTAAGCCAGTGTTGTTACACCTGTTTGTACATGTACCTGTGTTGCCGTAATCTGATACTAGTGATAGATACATGGGTAATTCCAGCCATTAGGGGTCCAAAAGTGTGACATTTTGTGTCCATGTTACATCTGACCTTTGTGATTTGACATAAAAATATCACCGGAATTGATTTTCAAACTATTACTATTTGTTTGGCAGGTAATTTGCATTCATTATTCACTCTTGGAAATTAGAAAATGTGTTCTGAACTTGCAAAATCAGATGTGACAGGGACAAGGGAAAAAAAATGGACCCCTAATTTCTGGAATTGCCCAAATACCAGTACATGTTTGTATCCAGATGGACATGGGTACATGGATACAGGTGTATGCTCTCTCTTAAAAATAGTTGGTATCATGAATTGAAATTCACCTTTGTACACAAAGCCTACAATGGTAGCATACAGTAAATTTGTATTATGTGGTACCTGGACCAAGGTACTTACATGTATGGACATGTGCTGTCAGCTATACATGTATGTCAGCAGATGGCGCTGGTAGTTTTTATGGGCTTGCCCAATTTAAACAGTAGAAATGACTGCAGTAAATAAAAAGCCCAGTTTGTAAAGTGCTTACAACAGGTGGTTGTATTCTGTACAAGTCAACATTACTGTTGGGGCAGTGGTATCTTGCCAGAACCTGTCCAAGTCTCAACTCTTTTCCAGAAGTTGTCCTTCTTTGCGTACCTGAATTCTGACCAGTACAACAGGCAGAATCACAAGTTTCAGAAATGTTTGGCATGAACTTTATTTTAATAATCTGTTCAATTTTTGTCTCCCCAGATATTTCAAAGAACCGTTTCATGGAGGTTCCGTATGAACTTTGCGAGTATGTTTCGTTAGAAAGACTAAACTGCTACAATAACGCCATCAGGACTGTTCCGGATGCATTCGCTAGGTTAACAATGCTCACGTATTTAAATTTAAGGTGAGTGGATTCAAGTCTAGTTGACTTTTTTTTCTTTGGATAAGGAATGCGGATTCCTGACTCTGTGTGCCCTGAAGACATAAATATGAACTTTGCTGTGGGGTGTAACCATGGAAACGAAACCCTAATGATACTTGGTTGTCTTGTGGGGTGCCAGATTACACCAAAATATGTTGCAACTGATGAAAAAGTAATGTGCTTGCCGATATCTCTGCACGGTTTGACTAGACAAACATGGAGTTCACTTTTCTTTTAAATTTTGTCATCTTTCACATGCATGTACCTGTACACTGTCGACAATAAGACATTATACATACATGTACATGCTACTTAAAAGAGCTTTTAGCCACATGAATAGGGCTTTCAGTCATAGGAAATCTTGAAAAATCCTGGGAGAAAGTTTTCCTGGAAAAGTAATGGAAAATTGGGGAAAAAATTGGGTGTCTTGGAATCCTGCTGTCAGAGGAAAAAGTTGTGGAAAAGTTAGGGAAATCAAGATCACATTAGGGTTATTTTGATGGGCTGCTTGTGGTGTGGTAACCCAATAATGATAAGTTGAAAGGCTATACTGGTCAGTCTGTAGAAGTGATTGTACCGGTAGGAGTCCAGTTCATGAAGTCAAAAATGGCATTAAATGGAAATTGTCTGTCTTTTACTCTTGGAAAGTCTTGGAAAGTCATGGAAATTGGTTTTCAGATTTTTGCAGAAACCCTGTAAACTGCCTTAACTTTTTAAGGAAAGATTCCTTGAATCAGTTTGGACGGGGGAACATTACGAGTCATGGAAACAACCTAGGCCTTCACGCGTACTTGTAGCCAAAAGCAAGAGTGAAGTTTTTCATTTCTCACAGAACTTCCTGTGGCTAGTTGCAACAGAACTCCGTAAGGCCATCTGACAGTTGGCAACACTATACCTCTTCTCAATTTGGTCTCTGGAGCCTCAAGTATGAGGTGTTGAAACTGCTATCAGGGCATTGACCTTTCTGGCCATTAGAGATAATAAGGCATGTGATTGAAAACACACATCCATTACATTTCAACACCAGCACAGTTACTGACGAAACCTGTCAGCATGGTTACAGGGCGTGTGCGTCACATTGTGAGGTATTTTAAGAGCATACTGATTACTTCCTATTCTGATGCTACATGTACAAGTAATTATGATTCCAAAGAAACCTTCCCTGCTCAGTGCTCATGAAGAAATGGTCTTACGGTACCTGTGTACAGGGTAGTTCCTTGATGTTTGTAGATGAACAAGTGTGGTGCATATAATTGGTATACATAACGTACGGCTACTAGAAGTGTATCGCTCAACTAATATGGGTTATTTACTGAGGAGTGCAATAAATTACTGTCATTTTAAGCACACTTGTGTGCTAACCTTACATACCTGGTGTGGACTTGTAAATAAAAGGTGTCCACACAATGCAGGAAAGGAAGACGTTCTGTGGACTTACACATGTCCACAGGATGTTTCTCCTTCTGTGAAAAAGGGGTTTAGAGGCATTTGGGGGTTGGAGTCATCTGTTGTAAAAAGAAGAGGAAAAGTCAAGGAAACCCTTGTACAAAAAGCCAGCCAGTTCAAGAAAAACAAGTATTTTCTCTGAGTTTTCTTAACTGCATGAAAAGAAAGGAATGTCCACTCTAGGTATGTATGGTAAGTATGGGTGTGCACTTAATGTAGCAGGTGTTTCAATTCAAACTTGTTAGTAAAAGGTTTGGTTTAGATTTTCAACAGCTCCATATTTCGAAGACAAGTACTCCTTAATTGATTCATTTCCATCATTGCCTGTGAATTCCCTTATTTCGCAACTCAATTTTACACCCACCCAGGTGGGTGGGGAGGGAATTGTATTGACTTTCCTGCCAGCCAGACACCGATATGTCCCATATGCATTGCCAACTGATTAGTCTGGGCTGATTATATTCCTCGCAGGCTTGGGTCCAGAGAAAAACAGCTACTTTGCACTTCTGAAAATTGCATGAAAAAAGTGATTATTTAAAACAGAAGCTGTGAAATAGCATCAGAATGTTGAAGATGGCTCCTACGTGTGTCTTGTATGCTGTAATGAACGAAACTCATTGATTGACATTGATGAGGGAAAATAGTGAGCAGACGCCATCTTGCGCCTGACAGTTGATTACTCTTAGTCTAGTTTTTTTTGGAGCTGACTTTACATGCACAGAGCAGATGTGGAACATCCCGGAGGAAGCCTCGTAATGAAGGCTAGTGTTACTGTAGGTAGAATTAAAGCTCTTCGGCAGTAACATGCCTGTCAGTCCAACCTTCCGCTGTGGTAATTTATGACAGGGAGGGTCATACTCTGGACCGCTGTCTGAGCATTTTCTGGATGTGTTACATATTTTTGTGTTCCAGCAGGGAAGGGGCACTTTTGCAGTAATTATGGGGCAGCATCCCAAAATTGTTCTCAACGATCTTAGAAGAACTGTTTTGTAAATTGTAGGGATGCAAATTGCGCCCTGGACATAAGTTCCTTAATCCATGAATTAGACCTTGAAGCTCGTTAGAGGCGGTTTGGCACTGGTGCTGCCAAGCAAGTGTGAAATTTGGAAATATTGCTTTCATATTTAGTCTCTTGTAAGCGCGTACCTGTCACTGACTCATCGTGATCGATGCATACTCCGTAACTAGGTACATTTCAGGTAATTTCAAATAACGCCTGGAAATGAAACGCAGACAGTCAAGATTCAAACAGTGGTCCAAAATACATGTGAGTGTGATCACGAGAGGGCTCACGTCAGTGACACAAAATTTCTGCCACTCAATTTATTGATGAGTTCACCTTTTTAAGCTGGGAAACAGTAGTTGAGAGAAAGGAATTGCTGGCCAGGGACATTTTAGGGAAGTGGTTGCCTTCAAATTATAATAGTACATCACAGATAAGGCCAGTTGTTAGCAAAATTAATACCATCTCACATCAGGAAGATGCATAGTGCATGTACATGTATATATGTATTGTAATAATTGAGATGTCATGATAGTATGTCATGTGTTGCTTATTGCAGTTCAATAAATGCATAGTGCTCTATCTGGCATGCTCCTGGGTGTGTTGGTAGACGACTCCTTAATTAAAGAAATCCTTCGCCAAGATATAGAAATGTACTCAGGATATTGTAATGCAGGCACGTGTGCCATCAGCACCAATAGTGAGAGGTTCCACATCAAGTGCCTGACGCTTCTCATCAAATTGCTGTAACCACCCCTGGATCCCCTTTCATCCCAAATCCAATTATACTGGGGTATTGATTCTGTTGAGCTGGGGGGCATAAGGGCAGGTTTCTTTATTATGGCATCATCGTTGGTTGGTATGATGACAGACATTCCAGAGATTCTTAAAGGTGCAGTTACAGGTGCTATTAGCGCAGGATTCTGTAATTTTTGAAGAAAAAAGGTGTAAAAGTATCAAAGACATGTACCTTTTGGTTTTGTTTTTCCTCTTTGAAATGCGAGGTTGGCTAATGATAGATGGCACAGTTTGCTTCATATTTTCAGTTTGCTGCTTTAATCTCAATAATGTTGCCACAGTTTCCTGGAGGAAGACGTTTTGTGCATTTTTCTCTCCTCAGTCTGGTGTATTTTGTGTAGTTGGGCAATTTGTTGTGGATAAATTGACTGAAGTTTGCCAAGAGGTACATGTAACTCATAAAGGGGGAGGGGTCACAAGGCTTGAAAGGTCATGACCCCAGCATTGACTTACATAAACACCACATGCTAGGTTTATTGTTAGAAGGCACCCAGGTCAGCTACCAGTGGCATCAGTTTCGGTAGATGCCAAAAATAGTCTCCCAACCTCTCTGCTGTGTACATGTACATGTAATGTGTGTAGATTACACACTGTACATGTACATGTACATGTACATGCCCTTTCATCACATACATACCTGCAGCTGGCAAATGTAATTACATTGGCAGAGTTGTGTGAAATTGAAAATGAAGTACAGAGGTAGTGGAGTTGGCTTGATAATAAAGATTTAAAGATAGATCATGACAAATAACACGTCAAGTGAGCCTGTATCAGTTTCCCTCAATTTTAATCTTAAAGGGGCACACTAAACCTGTCTCAGTGGCTGGTGATTGGATCAAGTCATTTTTGTTTTGGCTGGTGATTGGGGATGAGTTTTAGCGTACATTCATGAGACATGATACCATTACAATAAATAAAGCATTTATTTTGTTGATGCTTGTTTTTCTAAAGATTTCGGTTATCACGCTATCAAAAAGGGAAATCCATGAAGATCATGAATTTCTATGTTGTCTGCCCCTTTAAATTCAAGGATACTTCTGCCATTTACTCTAATCAGATACATTGTAAATGATACACTAGGGTACATCCAGTAGCAAGTTTGCACACTTCCAAACAAAAGAATATCTAAATGTAAAAAAACACAGTTCTAAAGAATTTTCAAATAAAGGCTATGGATCATAGGCATGTACTGTGTGTAGTTGGGGAAATCCTTCCATTGCAGCATGTGTTTTGACAAGATCAACGCATTCATGCCTAGTTATGAATTGGACAGATATCCTACCTCCTTTGGTTTTCAGTAAAAATCGTGTTGAAAAGCTTTGTAGAAACTGCAGAGAGGCAATAATCCGTAAAATCTCTTGTGGTGCAATTTGTATTGGATGCTCTTTGTCACTTTTGTTCGTAACTTCCTGTTTTCAAGTGTGCGAATATCATATACAGCAAATAAGTACATGTACATGTATGATTTGTTCCAAGACCTGCTCTGTTGTGCCAGCATTGCATAGCATCATGTAGGAATAAATGTTAGATTTCATGATGGCATTTGTGAACGGGACATGGCCTTGTTTAACCTTCCCTTTGTCCAATTTATTTTTGCGGTCGTAAATCCAGCAAAGAGGAATTGATGGATTTGTTTGTGTGGCCATGTCTGACAATGACATACACTGTCACCAACAGGACGCGCACTTTTACTCACCAGTACACATACATGAGTGGTCATAAATTGGTTAATGAGGAAATGGCAGAGCTTTCTAGCGGAGGAATAAGACTAACGTTTGATAAATTGAAGAGAGGAAGGCCCAAGACTGGTGAAATAATGAAAGGGAAAATAATGCGGACAGCCTCTGTGATGAATTGATACCTTGGGAATCGGTCTTGATAACCATTACTGACCAGAGAAACACAGACGTGTCCTCAGTATTTAAGTTTTGTACGTCCTATGACCCAGCTCTGACTGATGAATTTTATCAGGTCAATTAATCCAATTAGTTTACGGAGTTGGTAAACATGGCTTTACAAATGATAGAGATGTGAAGATGACAAGTATTTTCATCCAGAGAAGTCAAAATCGTTAGGGAGTTGGTGACCATGAAAATGTGATACCAGTGTTGGGAGGAAAGTTAATTGAGAATGTTACCCTTCAGTAATTTTCCAAAACTTCAATTTATCCTTCATCAATTTCTTTCCTGACATTTGCTCAGCTGTGTACCATTGTAGAGAGACCATCGTGCATACGGACATGTACATTTACCAGGATGTACATGCATCTATCCTAAGCTCAAGATTTTGACCCCAGGATGTGGGAGTGGGTTGTCAAATTCACTCTGGCTGTTTCTTCACCAAAATAGGACCAAATCATAAATCATTGGTATTTGCCCAATCTGTCCTGCCAAGCAGGGAAGGGGGCGGGGACGGGGACCCACAAAACTTTCCACACAAACACACGGTGACATCTTCCACTACACTGGGTCAGGGCCTGGCCCCAGAAAACCTTTCTAGTATTGGTGTCATCACCGGTAACAGGACAGTTTGACACATCGTTGTATTCATTCCCTGACCGACTGGCATCCCGACTATGAGGAAGTTGACTCTAAGTGGGATAACATCTGGATAATTACATGTTTTACGCACATAATAGACCTAGCCGAACTTTGGGATGGCAGGGCAATGAGAGCTAGTCTCTGCAATTCCTAAATAGGAAATGCACTGCAAAGTGTATTAGATTCAGTGCAGGGGTGAGACATGTGTGTCTACAGGGTTAAAGCAATCCACTACATTTGGACAATGTATTATGTAGATGGCAGTACTAATGTGGCATTTATTTATAGCTCACTTTCCAGAATTTGTGAAGATTTAATTGCTAGTTACAAAATTGATTGGGAATGCCACCTGGAAACATTTTTGGGTACTGCATTAAAAGCCATCACAATCAAGGGTTGGTGAGTTTGTTTGAGTGGTAGCCTGGAACTATCTTTATGGAGTTTTTTGAGAATCAGTGAGCCATAACATGAACAGAAAAGTTATGCCAAAACTGCCAATGTTAAGGGTACCGGTACATATCCGGTAACGTATGACTGTTCTTACTGACATTCCTGTGGCCTTAAAAACAATTTTTTGTTGCTTTTAATACCTCCAATACGATGCTGTCATAAGTAGTCTCAGTGGAGTACACAGCATGTCTTTTCAACAAACAATCTTGCACTTTACAGCCTGGTGCGCTTTGCCTCGGCATGGTCTCAGATTTATGGCTGTGCTTTGCTTGACTTGACTTGATTGAGCCACATTTTTGTAAAAAATTTAAAGAGTAGACAGAAATACCGGAAAGCCATTTCAGGCCTGTATGAATAGTAAGTCCCTGATGTTGGATGTACATGTGCAGTTTTCATGTCATTTTAAAAGGCTTGACCCCTGAGCCCTATTTTTATCCTTCCAATAAAAGAATCACTTCTCTTTTCACCGTATCGCTTCCTCTCACGTGCCCCTGTCTCATTTTTATCTCCTTGCAGTCGTAATTCACTCTCAGCTTTACCGATAGAAATATGCGAAATCTACCTAGAGGTTCTCATCGTCAGCAATAACAAGTTAGTAGCGTTACCTCCTGCAGTGGGCAAGATGAAGACGCTAATGCATCTGGTGAGTATCTCAGCAGTAGGGCAAGCTGGTCCCCGACGACCGTCCCACCGGGATATTTCTCATCCTAGGGAGATGTGTTGAAATCCTGCTACAGTGGATGTCCTTGATTCACTCCTGGAGTGTCTTCAGCTTTGTAATTATTACTTTCATTTAGATAAAAAAAAATTGATGTTAGTTTTTAGTCTCTGATTGAGGGGTTTGAATTTATGCATAGAAAGTCTTCAGATGCAGTAATGTTTTCTTTTCATAACTGTACATGTATATGATTAATTCACTGATACACTGTATAAATGGTTTTCTTTCTCATGTTCTTTCAAAAGGATGCCAGCTGTAATGAACTTGATACGCTACCCATCCAAATCGGGGAAATGGAATCGTTGAAGGAATTAAACCTCAGACGGAATCACCTCATGCAGTTACCGGAAGGTGAGCATCAGTATCTTTTTTTGAGATAAAGAGACCAAGAGAAGGAGTTTAAAATGGCTGTTGAATGATGGGGAATATATCTTATTTTGAGGCTTTTGATTTTGCAGAGATCAGCCGGTTGCCTTTAGTCATGCTAGATGTCTCCTGTAACAAGATCACCTTCATCCCACCATCGTACCGTCACATCAAGACGCTAGACATCTTGAAACTGGAGCACAATCCACTGGAGATGCCGCCTGCCCAGGTAACGCAAGCACTCAGTTAGAAAAAAATGTTGTCTGCGTGGTTCTGCGAAGATCCTGCCATTTGACATTCATCATTTGTTGGGTTAAAGCTGGAAAAACCTCTAAGCAACGGAAGACTTATGGTAGAACTTTAAAAACTTAGGCAAATACAAGATTCCAAAAGCTCTCCATTTGTCTTTGCTCTGCATTTTTCGTGTCTCTTGTGTGCTATTTATATCTGGTTTCTTTCAAATTACTTTGATTCAATAATTTTGTAATGACCTGTAACTTATTCTTAATCCAAAGGTGTGTACAAGAGGGAAGGTCCATATTTTTAAATACCTAAATAATGTCGCCACAAAAGACGAGAGGAGAAGTCGTCTGGAACAGAACGAGAGACTGTCAAGACGGTCCTACAACAATGCCAAGTATGTCACTGATACCCATACCAATCTCTTTGAAAGTCTTAGGCCATCATCTTGGCCTAGTTCCTGGAAGTCTGTATAAACATTGCTGTATAGGTTTCCATCAAGTACCAGTCTGTTGTTTTGCAAGTAAGCAGGAGGTTGTGAATGAGGAGCCTGGGGGATTCAAGTGATGTCTTCTGAAGAAGTTATCAGCCCTGTCCTGCTTGTAGTATGTGTAAACCCAAAGGATACGGATAAAAGTTGCCTATGACATAACAGAAAATTGAAGTTTGATTTCGTGAATGTTTCAGTTGGTGCCTGGCAAAAGCTGCTGAGTTTTACAGTTGCCCCACCTCTTCCTGTAAGCCCCAAACCTAAACCCGTCCCATTGATCCCAGAAGTCGTTGGAGAATAATTTTGCAGCCGTGGTGTGAGCTCACAGATGCCTTCTAACTAATGTTTCATTTGCTCTTTTTCAGCTGATTTCTTTTTCTGCTCTTTTTTTTTTTTGGCTCAGAAGTGTGCTTAAAAGATTGGCTAGTAGTTCCTCATACTTCCAAGAGTTGACGCCAGCAAAATGTTTGTCTGCCCCAATAATTGTTTCCCTGAAAAGTATTTAAACAGTCTGCCCTTCATTTGGTTTCTTCCTCTTTTTTGCAAGCGAAAAGCTGCACATGCAAATCCTTTCACAAATTGCAGAATTTGGCAGTCCTAAATACCAGCAGTTTCTCTTGAAATCTTTTTTTGTGTGCCGTCACTGTTAAACTTTCTTTCGGGCAAAGTTTTGTGTGCCACCATTGAGTATTTGAATCCAACTTTTACTGAGTAATTAGTTGCCATCGTGCCAATGTGTAGTGTCTGAGAGGAAAAAAAAATCTTGATATCAAAGGGCATTGATGATCGAAGGAAAGCGTGACCTTTCAGTTTTGGCAAAGTTTTTTTTTTTCCCACGACTGATCATGAACCAATCAACACCGTGCTTCAGATACACATGGCTAGCCACTCATGAAGCAGCTACGCGCTTTGGCTCTGCCCACAACAACAACCTGGACACCAACCAAGCGGGGAACCAGTCCGTGATTCTCAGTCCTTCCACACTCACTGCCCAGTATGTAAAGGGGTCAGAAGGCACAAATGGCTCTCCTAGGTATTTTGTGTGTTTGTTTTCGCTCTTGGTTTTTTTTATGGTTTTAGTTGCTGATCATGTGATTTGTTGTGTGGGTTCAGTGGTGGGGGGGCTAAAATTTGACCAAATGTTTGGAATGTATACATGACGAGGGAGAGGGTAGTTTTGTGGGGGTGCAGCATGATAATTAAGTTGGTTTGCCTGTCAGTAGTACGCCACTCTGAATAAGGTGTGTGGAATTCCTTGCTGGTTCTTGTCATTCTTGTATGGTGTTCTGTCTAGTGGGCATGTCTGAATGGGCATGGTTTCCCTATTCCACTGATAGAGGGCGCTCAAGACAATATCAGATGGAATTACAGGTTGAACAGATGGTTGTCAGTGATCTTTCCTGAAAAAAACCTTCAGGACATGCATTTGCATATGCGTTTTGTTTGACACATCACAGAGGGCACTGTTGGTTCCATTATGGCTCCTGGCTCACACGTTGCTGATGAAAATGTCAGCATTGTTGATTGAGTTAATTGGTTTCAGTTTTTATGTCAGAGGGTTACCATTGATTACATTGTACTTTGGCATTTTCTAGAGAAAGCGCTGCATTTTTTCATTTATCCTTTGAATTTTGATACAACATAATTGAATTTCAAAAATAATTCCTTGAAGTGGTCTGTGTTGGAGACAAGTTCCAAAATCCGGACACTGTAAATGGCAACTCATTTGCATGCAAGTGTTTCAGTATTGTCAATAGAGGGCACTCTCACTGTCACGTATTTCCCATATGTTTCTTGCTTTTTTTCCGTTTATTTCTCTTTCCTTTTTTGGGGGGGCTTGTGCTTCACTGCAGACTTTCTCACAACAATTTCTACTTTCTATTCACTCGTGCCATTTCTTTTACCACCCCTTTCATTTCAGAAGCTCCGCCCTCACCCCCCAGTCCTCCATTGATTCTGACTCCAGTCATTCCACCCTGTGTAATGGTGACCTTAGGTAGTACAACAGATCCATTATGAGTTGTTTGCATGTGATGTCATACATTGAGGGCGGCCATATTGGATCAGAGTCATGTAACCGGGATGAAATATTGAAAATAAGTGGCTAGTAATAACAAAACAAATATTGTATACTCAGCCTCTTGTGGATCATATCGATGCCAAGCTATAGTTTTCAGTATTATTCCTTACATGTGTGTTTGCTAAAATTAAGTACATGAAACTGCCAGTAAATTTGTACGTAAAAACCTACAGACCTACATACATGTATAAATCCAGTATGGCTACCTATTACCAGCAGTGATAGATTTGTGTTGTCAGCATTGGTATGTTGTCAACTGCAACTTTTTTGGCACTATTTTGATGTAGTTATCACCTGTACATTTTCAAGGAAATAAAAAAAAGACGGGTGCAGTGTCATGTCATTTTGCAGATACCTGTCACATGATTTCCTTGTGATTTCAAACAGAGGAATGTCAAATTTGGCGACGATTCAATTACATCACTTAAAATGCAAACCTGTGCCACTTGAAGTTAGAAGGCTGTAGTAGAGATTCGTTGGTCTCTTTGGTTTTGCAGGAGGACTTTAGTCCTCATTGGTCAATTTATGTTTTCAGTCCGTTGTACCGTTTTTTGGTTTAATTTTTAATACATGTTCATTTTTCAATAACTGAAAAGCTTTTAATCATTTTACTTCTTTCCTCTAAGTCTGAGCATTCACTGCTATAAAAAAGGTTAAAGAAGCAGGACGAAAGTTGATGCGTTGCATGTATTTTGAAACCTCATCTTGGAATGTGTTAATATTTTTGCAACATATCCTCTGCACTATCAAGTTGCATGGTTGCCATGACAACAGGTCCTATCTTGATCATGGGAAATAGTTTTTACTGGAAAGGAGGAATGCAGGACAGATAAGCGGAAAAAAAGGAGCAGTTAGCTGTTAAGGTCAAATGTCTGGTAAAAAAATCAGTAAATATATTCACACACATTTGACATAAATTTGATATATGTGCCTAGCACTCTTTCATTCTCTCTGTTAGTACATTTTGGTACTTCAAATGGACAATAATCACGCTTATTGTGAAGATTTAGACATGGTCATGTTCTAAACTTTTCCCTGCTTCCATTTTAACTTTGCTCTTTCAGCTGGTATGCAAGAAATAAATTTAGTAGTGCCTTAATAATTTAATGAACAATCCTCATTGTGAAGTGATCATGAGCATATCCTGGCCACTGCACAGTTTGTGTTAGGAGAGCTGCTTTGACAGCGAATATTTTTACATCGCATCAAACTAGGAACGTCACAGTGGTTTCTGGAGCAATTTGGCAGAATCGCTGATTTTCTAATGCATCGTCTTCACAATCATGGCTTTACTATCACTGTATCCAATCAAAGAAGCTACAGCTACGGAGGCTTATGCTGTACTTTAGACCACAGTTAGTCTTAAAAGCGCTATTTGTTTTTAAATTTTGAATCACTTGTGATAGTGTATGTATTAAGTTTTCCTTGTTCTAACCTGGGCAAAGACTGTGTCTTCTGTGTTCTTACATGTGCTGTAGACATGCCATTACTTATTCACTTTGAGGCTGTCCATTTTTAATTGTTTGGTACATGCAATACCTAACACAGATGATTGATCCATTTTTGTTTGTAGTCGATCATTCATCAGTTTGAATCCACACCTGTTCATCCACTGTCAACCAATTACTCACCGCACACTTTTCTGCACTTTTGTTTATGTTTTTTTTTGTTAGTGTTGCGGAAGAACTTGCATTCTGGAATGCGAAGATTGGGGAGTTGAGGCGGGGTACACTGACAGCGGACTCGGGTTACATTGACGGAGACAAGAGGTGGTCTGCTACGGAGGTATTTGCTTTCAACAATAAGACGCAGAAAAGAAGGCATTGCTAGATCTGTGAATGAGGCTTTGCTGTTTGAAATATTGTACTTGTACTGTTTACCTAATATTCTCTGATAATGCTCTCTGAAGTTGGAGCGGAACTCTGGACTGTGTTTTAAGCAAAGGAGTTTCAACCACTTTCCATTTGATCAAATGGTACAAGATGCATGTTTTACTTACAGCCCCAGCTAAGCAAATGGGCCACTGACTTGGTTGGATAAGAAAAATTAACCTAAACAGGATTTGAACCTGTAACCCTCAGCTGAGCTTACTGGGGGTGGCTGATGCTTCAATTCCTTGGCATCAACATTTTATGTACTTCTTCCCCCAAAGCAAAACAGGTTAATCATCCAACCTCTTACGTCACATTTCTTCTGCCCGAATCGTATATCTCCGTAGCCATCCAATGATGATGAAGAAGCCCGTATCCTGGCCGATCGAGCCAATCAGCAGAAAGAACTCCGACAGCAGCGGGGGGAGCTGTTAAACCAGTCATTGAGCAGCGGCAACTCATCCTTCGGCGCCGACAATGAGGCAGACATTGACTACATCGACACGGGCGAAGATGGCATGGAGGATGGCGAGATCACGCCCACACAGACGGAACCAGACGAGTTTACCAAGGTGAAGCCCCATAAAGTATGTATCAATGTCTGAGGGTTCCCCCTCCTGACTGCGCATGGCATGCTGGGATACTTGTTCAGCTTGCTGTTGATGATGATCTGTTTGACAACTTGCTCTCTGCGGAGACCAGTAAAACTTGGGTTGATGTGCTCTGCCTGGTGAGATATATTGTTCACAGATTGGAAGTGAATTGACCATAAGAAAACTTGGTAAGTGCTGTTGTGGAAATAGCCAGTGCTTTAACTGGAAGGGATTTTAAGCAATCTTGAAGAAAAGAAAGACAAATTTGATAGAAAGTGGGCTTTTTCATGTTTGCACCGAAAATGTTTAGAAATGTCAAAAGATGAAGAGAGAGGTCTTCCTGATTGAATGTCAAAGAAGGCAAATACAGAAGAAAACTGTCTCTTTGTAACAATTTCTTCATCTGTTTTGGAAGCATGTTTTGTTCTTGGCATCATGAATTGAAAATTATTGAAAACTAAATTATGAAGAATGATTTTAAATGCAGCAGCATCAGGATATGAATCTGGAACATTTGATTCCTAAGTCAAAAGAATGAATTCTTTTGTAATCCAGTGCATTTAGGGACTGTGCATATTACCCAAGTCAGGCTTTTTATGTCGGTTTGTGGCATCACTGTAGAGCTTTTTTGTTCCTGCTTGAAATTATCCACTGCTGCCCTGTAGGCCAAATTTCAGCCCAGTCCAGCGTGGCATATCTCCACTGAATTCTGACATAGCTCTGATGGAGGTTTTGCATTGCAGCCATCTTGTGAATCAGTGTTTTTGTTCCACAGAGATACACACATATGCCTTTTTGTATATCCCTGTGAAACAAAACCACTGACCTGCAAGATGGCTGCCATGGAAAACCTCCATTCCTCCTGTGCTGCTGTTCATACATTCATTTGAAATACGGTTTCAGTTGTCTCTATACTTTCCCACAGTTGATCAATTCCTTATTGATTGCCCCAAAGCCTAACAATCAGTAGATGTAACGTTAATCTGGGTGCAGTTGGTGTGAAAGCTGGTAATGTGTGAAAATACAAGTTCATCTATTCCTACTCTTCAACGTTATATAATTGTTGAAGAATTTGTGCGCGAACAATTCACTTTTTTAAAGGCCCTGAATGGCATTGTGCTAATAGTTCTTTTTGTATCCTGGTTTCCTTAGGCGAGTGGGATGTGAGCTTCCTCATTACCTCCCACTTGGTTACTCTGCCCCACCCATCCCGATTCCTCAGGTTTTTTTTTGCCTCTGAAAGTACGACAAGCATGTGCATCATGTTCAGATTCACAATGAAAGCTTTTGTCACTGTTTCCAACCTTGATGTGCAATGTCATTCCTATTCCTCCATCCCACATCTTATGCAATCCAACTTGGACATTATAGGATACCTGATACTAACATCTGCTTCCCTGAAGAAGCACTCTCTAAAACTGTTGATACTTAAGTTGTCTCTGCCAGACTGGTTGGTTTTGTATGTCGTTGATGCCCTTGAAGGTTATCTATCATTAGAAATTTCCCTTCAACTTGCATCATCAACGCTCATGCGGGCTTAGAAGCTCCTCCCTCTTTAACCTACCCCTGCTTATGCTACCTGCCCTCAATTTGATTTTATCACCAAATACAGTGGTTAATCTGCCCGCATCCCCTCTGTCCCATATCCCCTCAGGCGCTGACGAGACAGAAGGCCATCTACGAGGACCAGAAGCTGAAGGCCCGGGAGGAGCTAGTGAGGCAGGAGGAGGCAGAGCGTCAGTGGCAGCAGGAGGAGGAACGATGGAAGACGGAGCGGAGGCGTGAGGCTGAGCAGGAGCGGTACCGGCGCTCCTCCCCGTCGGGGAGCCTGCTGTCCGTCAACGCCAACGGGAATGTTGTCAATAGGGGTGGCGAAAGGTGAGATACTGTGCCAGACTCACCAAGGAATTCCAGTGCTATATGTATAGTCAAGTTCTTTACTAGTACTTGTCACTGGTCATCAAAAGTACTTCCATTGCTAACAGTGAGAGAACAATAACAAAAGGAATGTTGTTGATAGAGTTCACTTGAATAGCTTGTTTGGACGACTCTCATCGAAGCTGAGGTACTAGCAATGTCCTTGTGAAGTACTTGATTATTACTTGATTACAACTCCAAGGAATGGCAGTGCATTAAAGGACCTGGTGAACCATCAGTGCACGATACGTGATTGTCATATCAGACTTTTGGATGTCAGTTATTTTTGCTTCATCATCAATTCTTTCTTGATGGACGTCTGCTGACAGAAGATTTAGTAATTTGCAACTCTGCATGTACATGTAAGCCATCATGTTGAGGTCAAAACCAGGAGAAGCTCTGTTAGCCCCTAAAAACCACCTGACAGAAAGCGGACTGTTTGAGGGAAGGAGTACAGGCATTAAGACACCCAAAATACACCTTTGGGGAAGCAGGCTATCCAACAGGAAGCAGTTTTGTGTGCTGTTTCATACAAAGCTTTAGCTTTTAAGTTAGCATCTTATAGCTGTATTTTCTCATTGACTGTTTGCACTGTGATTGTGTTGTGACATAGTTTGGTTCCTTCTTTTTATTTCAACTGAAGTATTTGCTGTTGCTTGCCTGTCTGCAATGTAACCGTTGGCAGATCCATGTTTGGTATCCCTCCAGCTATTGACTCGATAACCCCTTTGACACAGAATAGATCTTGATGTTAAGAGAGGTGATCAGAATTTGAATTTCAGGTGGGGAGGGAATTTTGTTCAGTAGAAAAGGGTGGGATTTTTTTCCCCAAATTAAATTTTTTGGTCTTTTTCTTTTGCACAAACGCTCGTTTTTTTTGGTTTTCTTTTGTTTTTTTTGGGGGGGGGATGGGTTGGGAGACACTTTCCAAAATGACGGCATTTGTTTCAGTGCCCTGTCAACATTGTAATGCCCATTAGTCATTTTACCTTACAACCTTGGATCTGTCCGTGACTGTGCCTATTCTGATAACTGAATTGTCTGCATGCTTGTTTGTTTGTCTGCTTGTCTTTTTTGCCCCACTCCTCTTTCCCTCCTTTGCATCTCTCTTGTCCAACCCTTTCCCACGCCTCTAGGAGCCAGAAACCTAGACCTCTATCGTCTTCCTCGTTTAGTGAGTGCCTGCAGCGACCAACCACCCTGGAGATGTAAGTTGGACCTGCATGCTCTTTAGTATGTGTTGTTTGCTTACCCCTTACTCTACAAACCCCTTTCCGCTTTTGTTCCCCTTTTTGCTTTGCTTTTTGAAAAGGGTGCAGACTTAAGTCACGAACACGCAGAACTATCTATGGTCAGACATTACAAATGAAGAAAATATTGAGATAATTTCTCCATTTGCAAATCAACAATTTGCAAATGGAGGGTTTGCAGATTGCCAAGAGATATTCAGACTTCTAACCTCTAACCTCACTGAAAAATAGAAGTCATCCTGACAATTGAAATGACACCTCCTGAGTTTTGGTGATTGTGCTGTTAATGCATTTGTTATACATATAGTTTTTTGTTGCTCTCTTGTACAGTATGTGGCTGCTGGTTGTGGCTTTTTTGTTAGATGCACTGCCTCTTTGTGTATCGGGCTGCATTTGCACGTGATCTGTTTGATAGCTTTGCACTTGTGTGGTATCTTTGTATGTCAAGACTGTGTTGTATTGGAATTGTGTGTTGGACTGTAACAGGTGCACCAGCCTTTCTGTGCAATTTATTCCAATTCAGATCACAGCTTTGGGCAAGGTTACCAGTGATTTGTTCAATTTTCAAGACACTGTGGTTTCAGGAGCAAACTGTATGGTTCTGTCTGTAGTCAGTCTCCCTCACGTCTCACTGAATCCACCCCCATCTGACCACCCTGCCCCCATCTGACCACCCTGCCCCCATCTCACCACCCTGCCCCCATCTCACCTCCCTG